ACAAAACAATTTGGAGGACAAATAAGCAATTGTAATGATTACCGGGGGGGATCTAAAAATACATATAAAATACCCTAGGAAAAATTACAGATTTAGTAATTCAAATTTCACATTGATTCCAGACTACATGTATTCTATTTGGAGTATATTCTTCATCTCTGCCCATCCACTTACCAGGTACGTGCTTATTGTAATGAATTACAATAATCGGCCTTGCGGGGTGGGGGTGGATGGGTGGGTGACGGGGGTTGGATGTTGGGGGAGAGAGAGAACTAAGGATAGTAGTGGTCAACTTGTTCATTTATATGTGTATATATATGTACACACACACATGTATATACATATATAGGTATGAGATATTGAGTGTGAGCAGATAAAAATTACAAATACATAAGATTAGGATAGATGTTTGAATTTTATAAACCACTAATATTAGGATTTGGATTTTCTTTCAACTTTATGTTCAAATGAAAGGATTGATGTTTGAATTTTTGAAGTTGTAGATTAATATAAATATTAGGACGTTTAGTTCATATGACCCTTCTAATAGGAAAATAATGACATCTTTTCTTGAGATATTTAGTTTAAAACAAACGAAGCGTGATCAAAGCCAAAGGTTATCTCACCTAAACTAATAATCCTCTTGCTAATGGCTAATGCCCTTGATATTTTCAGATCCGTAACTCAACAAAAAATCTAAAAAAAATTCCTGCGATTCCCGAAATCCCTTTTATCTTATGGTGCAAATAACAAATAAATAACTAAAATTTATGGCATTACATGGACAATGTGAGATCAGATATTGTTTCCGAAACATTGTTAACAACATTAGAAGAAATTAATGCATACAACAAAAACACAATTCACATAGTTTGAATTGAGACACCCCTTCATGATATACAGATACATAGTCAAAGGTATTATGGCAGCTATCCATGATAAATTCATTGAGACACCCCTTCATGATATACAGATACATAGTCAAAGGTATTATGGCAGCTATCCATGATAAATTCATGCTCCTAAAAATTCTATCAAAATGAAGGCAGCTTCTTGCTCATAAGTTCCCTCAAAGTTACCTTTAAAACTTATTTGTAACCCAAAAACCTAAAATTCTAAAAATAAGTAATTTCATATATCCCTAAAACCCCTTATTGTCTCTTGCTAAATAATGAATTCACAATTTAAGAAAGGAGATGCAAAATTGGAGCACCACGCTGAGTAATAACTCAGTTACTGAAATTATGTAAACATAGGAAATGTCCCTCACATTAGAAAATTTATGTTGTTAATTAGAAAGGGGAAATATGTAGTAAAATTACCTTGATAGATGAGTTTTCCAACCAATGTGAAATCCCTAAACCTAGCACTACATCAAAATTAAAAAAGAGTGGGAAATTAAAATTATGACATATATCCAGAACTAACTGCAATGTGTAATCCAATAACTACATAAGAAATAAGGAAATTAAAATTATGACATATATCCAGAACTAACTGCAATGTGTAATCCAATAACTACATAAGAAATAAGGGAAAAAATTAATAAATAAGAAAAAAAATTAAAACAATAAATTCAATACTTACAATCAAGAAAAGCACTTCCTTTGTTCCATCAAATCTGAGCCAACATGCAATTTATAGAACCACTAAACACTCTCAACTTGATACTTTCAGTTGAGAAAGATGGAGAATTAAAAAGTCATAGCAATCAGTAGCAATCATATTGATCTAGTAATGTTTTGAAGGATCTAAGGGAAGTTGGAACATGAGAGAGTGGGGGAGGGAATAAACTTAGTTGGAGTTGCAAAGTGGGGGAGTTGATCGGTGTAATGAGTTTTCACTTTTATAGAGAGACACAAAAAGGGTAGAGATCATTATTAGTTACCAAATATTTCAGCTATGACAACAGTGGAATCCTAAAGATTGCAGAAAAGAATCATAATTTTTTTATTAAATTACTCAAGTAACATATACCAAAAACAAAACTACATCACAAATAGTCACTTACAGAATTAGGGTATCATATCTTTCAACAACATGTGTGAAAAGTATTGATATTGAACTACTGGCATCAATCCATTCTATCAAAATGAAGGCAATTTCTTGCTCATAAGTTTCCTCAAAGTTATCTTTAAAGCTTATTTGTAATCCAAACACCTAAAGTTCTAAAAATCAATAACTTCATACATCCCTAAAACCCCTTACTGTCATTTGCTAAATAACATATTCACAAACTAATAACCCAGCTATTGAAATTATGTAAACATAGGAGATGCTCTTCACATTAGGAAATTTTATTTTATTAATTAGAAAAAAATAGGGAGTAAAATTACCTTGATAGATGGGTTTTCCAACTAACTTGAAATCGCTAAACCCCCAAGCACTACATCAATCAATCAAAATTAAAAAAGAGGGGAAATAAAAATTATGACACATATCTAGAACTAACTGCGCGCAATGCGTAGTCCAAAAACTACATAAGAAATAAGAAAAAACAAATTAATAAATAAGAAAAAAATTAAAACAATAAATTCAATACTTACAATCAAGAAAAGCACTTCCTTTGTTCCATCAAATCTGAGCCAGCATGCAATTTACAGAACCACTAAACACTCTAAACTTGATACCTTCCGTTGAGAAAGATGGAGAATTAAAAAGTTGTAGCAATGAGTAGCAATTATATTGATCTAGTAACATTTTGAGGGATCTCAGGGAAGTGGGAACATGAGAGAGTGGGGAGGGATTAGCTGGAGTTGCGAAGTGGGGGAGTTGATCGGTCTAATGAGTTTTCACTTTTACAGAGAGCCAAAAAAAGGTAGAGATTTAATTAAAACAATTGTTAGTGACTAGAAGTATTGAGTTATTTAATTATTAGTTTTAAATTTTTAATAAACAATTGTTATATTTATGATAGATGAAGGGTATTTTAGGATAGAAAAAGTTTTTCTAGTACTCACTCTTTTAAAGGAGAATGATGATATGTATAGCATCACTACAATATTTTTATTTTGTGGAAGAATTTGGGTATAAAAAAAGATAAATTATCTAATCGGTTAAAGTAGGATTATATAAGTTAAGCCTATACATGAAATTTATTTTAACCAACACATATATGTAAATATTACAATTTGTGTTGAGATCTAAGATATGTGTGAGATTCTCTTTGACTTTTATACAAATAGTATCTATTTAAATAATAATAGTATAATTAAACTATGTGATTTGGAAAAAAGATCAAATATACAGTACACATTAATTGCTTTAAAATAATCTAATCTAATCTAATAAGAAGAAAATAGATTAAAGTGATGTGAAAATTATTACAATTTCATAATCATAAATTTTAAACAATATAATCTAATCTAATAAGAAAATAATAATAAAGGCATATATCTGTTGAAAGAGATAAAAGTGCTATAAAAATTATTATAATTTATGATCTAAAAAATTAAACATACAATATAATTAATTACTTTAAAATAATCTAATTTAATCTTATAAGAAGAAAATAGATGAAAGTGCTATGAAAATTGTTGCTATTTCTTTATATGAAAAAAATTAAATATACAATATAATAAATTGCTTTAAAACAATCTAATGCAATATAATAAGAATAAAATAACAAATGTGCATACCTATAGAAGAAGATGAAAGTGTTATGAAAATTGTTGTAATTTCTTGGTTTATATATATTGGTACGTGATGTTGCATGTGAGATCATAACAATTATAAATAGAGTTCTATTTAAATAATAATAGTATAATTAACCTTTAAAACTAATTATACAGTACCGTGAACTACTTGAATTTTAATCAGTGAGAGATCGCCACGCTGTGTCCTCAGGTCGCAACAGTTTGTTTTAATTTTTCCTTTTTATGATTTTAAGAATGACTTTTGTCTTTTTAACTTGTTTGGTGAATTTTGCAAATATCATGTCTACATTATATACATTTGTAGGTCTGCGCTGATCCTGGGTCAACCTTTGGGGTAAACATTATTTGTCTCGTTAATTTATTTAATTTTTACATATACACCCTTTGTCTTGTAAACATTTATAAATTTGGCATTTAATAATTTTATTCATGTCTACATTTCAATTTAAACTATATCCTTATCTTCGTACTATGTATATCCAATAAGAATTAATCATTTTATCAACTTACTTTTACTTAATGGATTAGTATTTGAATTCTAAGGGTATTTTTTTCTACAAAAAGATTTTTCTGAACTCGTGCTTTTAAAGGGAGTATGATATGAAGTATGAATTTTAGTCTGTGAGAGATCGCCATATTGTGTCCTCAGGTCGTAACTGTTTGTTTTAATTTTTCTTTTCTTTATAATTTTGAGAATCACTTTTGTCTTTTTAATTTGTTTGATGGGTTTTGCAAATATCCCTTCTGCATTACTCCTCAGGTCACAACTGTTTATTTTAATTTTTCTTTTTTATAATTTTGAGAATCACTTTTGTCTCTTTAATTTGTTTGGTGGATTTTGTAAATGTCCCGTCCATATTACGTACATTTGTAGGTCTGTGCTGTTCCTGGGTTCGACCTTTGGGACAAATATTATTTGTCTCGTTAATTTATTTAGTTTTTGCATATACGCCCTTCATCTTGTAGATATTTTTAAATTTGGTATTTAATAATTTCATTCAGATTTACATTTTTATTTAAACTATATCACCATCTTCATATTATGTATATCAAATAAAAATTCATCAATTTATCAACTTACTCTTACTTGATGGATTAATATTTGAATTCTAATGGTGTTTTTATTTATCGAAAGACTTTTCTGCACTCTTGTTTAAAAAAAAAAATGATATGATATGATATAATTTATTTAAGATAAATAATAAATAAATAAAGAAAACACCCCCGTAATAAATAAGACGGGTTGAAGAGAAAAAGAGAGTGTAATGATACTGTCATCGGAAATCGAAACATCCGCACAAAAATACAAAACCCACCTGCTGCAAAATTCGCCAGCAAAAGATCTCACAGTCTCTGAGAGAGACCCAGACCTAACCAGCACCAAACCCTAAATATAATACTCACGAGCAGGAAAATGTCGGCGAAAACCCTTAGCCCGCAATCCCCCGCTCTCTCTCCCTCCATAATCCCCCATGGCCTCTTCCCTCTCTTTTACCCTCTCTTTCCCCAACCGAACCCTAGCTGGTCCTCGATCTCCAAAATGCGATCTTGCTCCGGGTGGGTTGAGATTTGATTTCGATTTGATCCTTTTTTTTCCCTGTTAATTGTTCTGATTTGGTATGTTTTAGGGTTTGGACATGGGGGATTGGCGATTAGGAGTGATCGGAGGAGTCTTGTGAGAGGAGCGGCGGCGGCGGGGGTTGGCGGAGTTAGGGTTCCAGTTGTGGAGAGGAAAGAGGAGAGGCCGATTGTTGTTGTTGATAATTATGATAGCTTCACTTATAATTTGTGCCAGGTTGGTTTCTTTTTTAAACCTTCTCTGTTTGACAGATGGATTTTGCTATTTATCAAAATTTTTTTGGATGTTTATATTTGTTAATTGTTGTCTATAGTTTACGAAAAGGTTGAATTATGAAGATTCTGAACTAATGTGGGACTAGGGTTGGTAAACGACCATAATCGAATCGAATTGCTAAGATGTTGATACGTGTGTTTGCTTAAAATTGTCGAATTCGAACCCGATTTTGAATTTTTACATATGGAGTTTGTCGAAATCAAACCCGAATACTCGGTATTTGTTAAATATTCATGAATATTCACCAAATATTTATCGAATATGGAAGTATATTCATTTCGCTAAAGAATTTGATTTTCAAATGCTATTTAAATTTATAAATAAAAATTATTCCTTTATAATTACGATGTATATATATTTAATTCAAAATTTTCATTAGAAAACTGATTTTAGATTCTTTACGTCAGTCAAAATTAGTATATAGAACTTAAGTAGAATATGTGAACAGATAACATCATATTTGTAATAATACATATTATAAGCGATCAAATTTTAAACGAATGTTTAATAAGCAAACGAATCAAGTATACATCTAGTTAAATTCTATTCATTAATAAATTCGAATAATAATAATTTGGTTCGTTTCTACCCATATGTGGGACATTAGGGAACTTTGTGCGTGTGCGCGCAGGGGCGTTATTTTTGGGTAGAAGTTACTCCTACATTTTTATTAGAATAATAAATTACTCCAACATGGATCCACTTTGATCTTGAGAATGATTGTCGTGGACCTTGTGGTAAGGGCTGCTAAAAATCTTGAACCATCTGCGAAGCAAGAAAAACTAAAATCCAATGGATTACAGAAACTGCAAAATCAGCCAAACAGTTGTCATATGAGTGAATGCCTTATTACAGATAAATATTGCATCTTGTTAGCATTCAATCATACTTTGTAATTTTAAAAGTAAAATATTTCTGGATATTTCATGTGCTGCAACATTATATTTGGTGTAAGCCTAACTGACTACAATTAATTTTTTATTAACTTGTAACTGCATACACTCTCAATTGGTAGAGGGCTAGAACCATGAAATTCAGGTCTCTTATGCATATTTGAGATAATGTCGCCTGAAACTTCTAATGCGACTGCAACTTCTATTTTTGTGTTTGATTTTTTTACAAGTAAAATATTAAAGCTGAAAAAATTTAGTTTTGTGAAGCTGATCTTCGCTAGTAAATAAGATCATTTCAGCTCAAGTTTTGGCAAGATTTTATTAATTAATTTAAACTGATTTTTAAAAATTTTCTCTTCTAATACAAATCAATTTAACTTTGTCACCCTGCTCCATCTCCAACAACTACACAAAAAAACCACACATGCAAATGTTGAAAACTTATATAGAATAAAAGTTGCTGTAAGGTCATGAAGGAAGAATGAAAGTGCGACATATTTCGAAGAAAAGGAAAAAGAAAACATTTTCATATGATTTGAGTGTGTTAAATGCTTCAAACATTTGGATGTGAACTAATATGACTCTCGATATTCATCTAACACTGAAGTATATGGGAGCGCTAGGGGCTAGCTTTGAGGTGTATAGGAATGATGAGATCACTGTAGAGGAAATGCGAAGGTAAGCATTCCCATTATTACTCATTTAAATACTTTTCGTGTCTTGAAATTTTGATTGGAGTTATTTAATTTATAAATCCATGTTAACTTTATTATTTAGGAAGAATCCAAGAGGGATTTTGATCTCCCCAGGTCCCGGTAAGTATTTGTTGGACTGTTAACGCATAATGTACATGCCTATGACCATTTTTTCCATGTTTTCTCACATTACAATATTCAGTTATAAATTGTCTTCTTCCACCTTTTACAGGTGCACCAAAAGATTCAGGAATATCCTTACAAACTGTGCTGGAGCTTGGGCCTTATATTCCTTTATTTGGAGTTTGTATGGGCTTGCAATGCATTGGAGAGGCATTTGGAGGTTTGAATGTCATTGATGAAGATGTGATGTGTTACTCATAATATATAGAGCTTATCAGTGCTTCTAATCTGTCTTCAGGAAAGGTAGTGCGTTCTCCTTCAGGTGTTGTGCATGGGAAAAGCTCTCCTGTTTATTATGATGAGAAACTCACTGATACTGTATTTAATGGTTTGCCGAAGTAAGATTTTTCTAGTTTTCCTATGTCTATCATCACAATCATCCTTGATGCATTTTCATGAAGCTTACATCCACATTGCATGCATGTATCATACTTGTTATAAGATGAAAATTCTTGAGAGCATTATTTTTGCAAGTTTTTTCGCGTTGCTTTTGATGACCGCATTTTGATCACTTTAATAATATCATAGTTGTTCCATGAGAGCTTGCTTGAAGTTTCTGAAAATTTATGTTGTAAATTTTAGTACGTGCTTAGATTTTTAGCATGCTAAACTTATATTTCTGCACAACCAAGCATGTGAACATGACTTTGGGTGAATGAGTTCTGAAGACCTATAAATGTCAGCCATCTTGACATGGATTGGCATCACCTATCAAAAATTGTTACTTACTACACCCTGTATGGTTTTGGAAGTTATATATTGTTATACAGTGTTGAAGTTATTATGTATTAATGGGAATTGCTTGTTTAACTTAAAGCTGAACTCTGTGATTGTCAAGTTGGGCACTTAACAAGAGAATATATTGGCTAAAAAGTTCTTGAATTATGAAATGAAGGATGGTTAATGATTTTGGCTGCACTTTGCTCTACCTTGTTTCATATCATTGTTATTTTTCAAGTACTTTCAAAAGCCAGCTTTTAGGTATTCCATCTGAATGGATGATTCATCTGGAAAATTACATAAAATCTAGATGCTGTTTGATTGATTTCTGAATGTCTTCATAAGACTTTACTCCACTTGTATATGGAAAGCACATTGTTCATGAAGTTAAAACACCATTTACTTAACATGTACTATTTAGATAAAAACTTCCTTTTGATAAGTTTCTTCTTGTTTTTTTTAAAGATGTTAACATGACATTCTTTCTCCTTGGTGATCACTAGTTTATTCATGCAATTATTAATCTTTATCATTCTTCTAGAGCAAAATATATTTCCTACAAAAGTATAGGGCACATGCATTTTCTTAAGAAGTATGTTATAACTTATATCCAAATCAGACAACAAGCTTCTGCTACTTGAAAGTATTTTGTACTAAACTGAAAGAGACTAGTAGTAGAGTGTAAATTCAACTTAGTTTCTGGTCAAAAATGCTTAGCAGCTTTGTGACGGGCCTTCAAATGGAAGCTTTCCTTAAGAATCATATAACGGTACTTGCTCTTTCATTTTGTAACATAGGCACCTAGTCACTTATCAGCCAGATGAGTTTGTAGATAGGGATCATATATTCTAGTTGATTACAGCCTCGTGCATGGATTACAACCGAGATTTTGGTTCACCTAGAAAAATAGTTAGTGGTGCATGAAGGAAACTTTCTAATTTAGACAATCTACATATTATCATTCACCTTGAATTTGTTGCTAGAAGCTTTCTTTTAGCAGGCAACATTGAGAGGTAGGATTATTTGAGATTGAAGCTTAACATGGGTGTTGGATTTACCTTTTGCTAATATAGAACATGATGTGAGTTAAATTTGGTAAATAAAGGCTCAAAAGGTGTACTGTTTCATGGGGAAGACTGCAGGAACTCTTCCTGGAGACAATTTTCATTCATTACATCCTCTGATACCAGACTCTGATACCAGAAGCAATAGCACATCAGAAAGTGGTCAGATAAATGGTAGTTTACAGTCTTAAAGATGTCAAAGAACTTGATGAGTAACTAATTGATGTGTTCATGGGAGATGCATATATTTGGATGATACAAATGCTACAGTGTGCATGTGCATAGAAGAAGCTGTATAAATCCTCTTATATCTGTCATTAAAAGTTTAAAAATTTGTTCTACAATAGTAGGATGACCATCAAATGCATAAAATGAACAACATGTGTTTCATTTTGAGAACACTTGCTCCTAGTTTATTTGGTAGTTCTTCAGTGAATTCGTTGCAACCGAAGTAAGCAAAAGGTTGCACTTGAAACATGGGTTACAACCATCGATTGCTGGGTGACACATTAAGGAAAGAGTCAACTTCTTGTTCTTATTGAAAGCTAATTCGCAATTGAAGGCAACGTGAGGTGCAATATTGTTCTTATGTTGTTTAGTGTCTGCAATTTATTCTCTTGGGTACCGTTTGGCAAAGGGTTAAGTGAGGGGTTAAGGAGACTTAACCCCTTCTTAACCAGCCAAACAAAAAAAATCTATACAATAGTTAAAGTGAGTTAGCCCTCTATAATTTGCTAACATAAAAAATATATAAGGGTTAAGCTAACCCTTCTAGAGGGATTAAAATGAGTTAACCCCTCAACATAAGGGGTTTACTAATACAGTAATACTCATATTTAGAAGGATTAAGAGTTAACCGTTCTAATTATAAAAAAATAGTGAAAATCATTGTTATTCCCAAACACTACAAATAATCATAAGGGTTAAAATAAAACTTTTATAACGGGTTAATAATTTAGTTCTTCAAATTATTGAATGGGCTAACTATGTTAATCATTCTCCTTAATCCCTCTTCGTTAACCCTTTGCCAAATGGGGCCTTGGAGAATATTGGCAATTGTGTGCAGATCTAAAGTTGTAGCTTGTGGGTATATACTCGTACCCAAACAAATTGATCATGATATTTTATTCAAGTAAATGTGGTTTATGTCTACCCAACTTAATCTACCTGTGAAGTATATTCATGACAAGAAAATAATCTTATGAATGCACATGTTTCATGAAAGAAAATTGATCAAGATATATGCCACAGACTATAACCTAGTTCCCATTTCAGTACAGAAGATAGAATTTGCTAGTGCCGGGCGTAGTTGCGCTATTCCCTAGACCTCCTCCGAACTGCCGTTCAGTTCCTACGAACTGCTTCGTGGTACATTTGCGAACCGATTTCCTCCGATACAGGAATTGCATCCCCAAAATTGGCGTTCAAGTATGCGGGGGTGCGAAGTCCCTTTAAGTGCACATGCGCAAGACACAATGCAATTTGGAAAAACACAATCTTAAATTCTGAGCTGTCCATTTGATCCTTTCCCCCCTTCTATATTTGGAGTACTCTTCATGGTTTAAAGCTCAACATAATGATTTAGGTTGAACATTTAGTTCCTGGTTTGCTTCTTTCTTAGACAACTGTCATTGTCAATTAGTTTTATGTTCTTTGTTCTCTTGTAGTCCTTTCACTGCTGCTAGATACCATAGTCTGGTGGTTGAAAAAGATAGCTTTCCTGGAGACATGCTCGAGATCACAGCATGGACAGAAGATGGACTAATTATGGGTGCTCGACACAAGAAATACAAACATATCCAGGTTCACTAGCCTTCCCTCAGTCTTGCTTGTTGGATTTTCTTTTTTTTAATGGAAAATTAATAATTAATTAGCTTGTGATCCGGGTCTTTTTGCTGACAATGTTTTTTTAAGATAGCATATGGACAATGCTTAACTCAGTCAGATGGCGGGTAAAACCGTCAATTTTTACCTGCTTTTGTATACCAAGTATATTGGACCTTAGGAGCTTTTAAGAGTCCAGTCATGTCACTGAAAATGAAGCACAGTCTGTAAGTTATTCTGATATTTAGGGTGGATGAGTAAGAACTTCTTCTGATTAAGCCATAAATGTATGATATTTCCAGAGGTTGGAAGTTATTTCTTCTTCCAGGGATACATGCATCTTACTGGCGACTGATGCAGTTGAGTCTTATTCACATCCAAAAAAAGTTCTATAGGGCTATGTTCTGCTCTGCCAGATGATGGATATGATTGACAGTTGTTGCTTCTTGTTAACTGTTTATGTATGCTACGGATAACACGAACTTAGGCGTTTTCGGAGTCCAGTCATGTAACTGAGAATTGAAAAGCAGTTCTTAATTGGTGGAATTATTCCTCCATTCATCCAGAGATTCATGCATCTTAGTGCGACTGCTGCAGTCAACTAGTAACCAGCATATAGGTTTATATTACCTCCTCAAGGAACAAACAACTATCATATTGTTTTTTAAGCAAGTAAATTAGTTGAATGAATCCAACTGCTTCAATGGTGGTGAATAGTTTTCTTTAAGTTGGGCAGAAGTTAAAAAGAAGTTGCGCATGGAAAGAAAATCGACCGTAATTATCCACCGCTCTTTTTCAAGATGAAGCTATGAATCCAAGATTCTCCAAGTTAGGAGTCAAAAGACTCACAGCAGTGTTAGTCACTAGAGTATTGCAACTATAATGCTTACTTCTGAACCTTAACTTGTACAGCAAAGATTTAACCATCAATATGACCCAAAAAAGGTCCCAGTTCTCTTTTCTTAAGTGTCTTAATTTTCGAATGTAATGTATTGATCTGCTAAAAAATTTGTCAATAGTTAATGCGTGAACAGCTTAACCAGTTCTCTTATTGGTTGACAAAATATTATAAACTTAGTTCTTTATCTTCAGACCGCATACTTTTATATAAAAAGCGGCAATTCTTACTGGAATGGTGATGTCATCATGATCTGTGCAGTATCTCTCTGCAGTTGCAAGTGTGCATAAAGTGTCCAAAGTTCTAGAGCACCTGCTGTTGACCTTAGGCATTCACATCAGTTAGCTGGAATAAGTACAATTGAATAAAATCTTCAACTTCAATTGTCTGGTAGGATCATTTATCTCTTTTGGCCACGAAGTTTAAAATGATGCAGCCGAGGAGCAATTGTCCCATGTCCCCTATACTTGAAGATTTTAGATGAGGTAGGATAGAACTTACTATAGGTACCTCCCTGCCTCCAAAGAATCCCAACTCTCCCTTACTTTTATTTGTGTAGTTTTCAAAAAAGGAGTAAGAGACAACTTCATGTTTAAATTTCAAGTGTCCTGAGATCATAAAACTTCTTTATAGTTGAATTTTGTCTTCCTTCTTGCCAAATGAAAATTCTGGCTCTTCTAGTTTTGATAATGATGATGACATCATGACAATTCCAAGATCTGAAAGGCATAACTGCAAAAAACAAAATGAGCGATACTAAACTATGTTTGAGTCCCTCCATAATTCATAAATGAGTTACAGCTTGGATATCTCATTATATTCTTTACCGCTGAGATTATACTATAAAAAGGGCATTCCTCATTCATGCACCATTCCAAGTGACAACATTTATTATATATACTATCTGTCATTGTTCCTGTGTGCCGCCATTAGTATACTTTCTTAAACACTTTCTGTGAACCAGCTGTTCTTTCCTATTCTCCTGACTCTGGTTCTTCAATCATTTATTGCCACATACCATAAGGAACCAGATAACTACTTATCTCTGTACATCTAGGGACCTCAGTTTTTGCAACATTAAAAAAAAATAATATCTAGTGGAACGTTTGAAAATATTACCAATTACGAGATCCTATCTTGTGAAATATTACCCAAATTTGGAAGAGGTGACCTTTATGCCTGACTCCTAATAATATGAGGGAGACTGTAGACTTGTGTCCCATTGTTTGAAAATATGAACACTTTACCGAGTGAGGTTGAGCAGCCCATGTCCTGGTTAATTAATTTGTCGTCAACCTTCTATGAACTGGTTGGATTTTGTAGGTAGGGGTAGGGCAACTGTTAGCAAGACTGCCTAATGCCTGGCCGTAAGCCTCTAGTTGGTTCTTTCTTCTTATATTAAGTAGATATGCAAATTCTGCATGTAACCTAATTAGTTTTTTGTATCGTTAGACATGTTAGCTTTGAAACATCTTGATCTAGCTGTTGTCCACCTGACCGGCTAACCCTATTGTTCCTCAGATATTTGACTATCTTGCATCTACAAGTACCGGACACCAGTTTTAGTGTCTAGATTTATAGTGATGTACAATATCCAAAATGATCTGTGGAGAGTAAATTTCATTCTGAAAAACATAACTCGACTCACCATGGGAATGACTGTTTCTTAAACATAACTAATCTACAGCATTTTTTCTGATTGGTCTTTTATATCCACAACATTTAGCTTTGGTACAAACTGAAATGTACATTTCTGTAACAGTGTAACCTAATTGGTCTTTTATATCATTAAAAGATTTTAACTCTGAAAACACCCTGTTATCCTCCTAACCACACATGCACATGGTTTGCGGTCATCTGACTATCTTGCGTGTACAAATATCAGACATGCATTGGTAGTTTTTCGGATTTATAGTAAGCACGCAATATCCAAAATGATCTGTAGAGCTGAAAAATATAATTTGGCTCACCGTTGGAATGACTGATTATTATACATCTATATTTGCTTTTGTATGCAACTTCTTGCAGTTAACTCGGTTCCCCTGGAAAGTTGACATAGTGTTTGGTTTTTTGCAGGGAGTTCAGTTTCACCCGGAAAGCGTCATAACAAGCGAAGGTCTAATGATGGTGCACAACTTCATCAAACAAATTGAAAGCTTGGAAGCATCAAAGTCTTGTCATTGATTTATATATCTTAATATCCCGCATTTGGAACAATAATAGCAGATAAAAAAGCTCTCGTCTGAAATCATTATTGTTTGTTGAAAACAAGGAATTAACGGTCTTTCCTGTTCTATCAAGAAAATTTATTGTTCTCCTCTTCTATTTATCCCTTCTCATCAGCAACCTATGAATCATTTACTTTCAGCATGGTCCCATGTCAGAACTATGTAGCCCCTCTCGTATGGCTGTACGGATATCTCAACCATGTATATAAATAACCGCGGATGATTTATGCAACCAAGATCCGATGCATTTATGAACCGAAGGTCAGTTGCATTTACGCGACCATGGATGGATTCATTGTATGCTTATGTTCTTATTTCTCAACCTGAATGCATAATTCATAATCTTTAAAGTACCTGAACTCTGCATCATCAAGATATGCCAAGTATTATATTCAGTCTGACATTCTTTCACCTGTACAAAGTACTGGAAAAATTTTCTGAAGGGGCTCTCTACATCCATGATGAAGAGTTTGCCCCTCGGATTCATCCCATAATTATCTCCTGCAAGCTCCATTCATTCCGTGGCCCCACCCATCCATGCTCATGATCTTTGTCTCTCATCATCACACCCACTCAAATACCCCCCACATACTTTCCTACTCTGTAAAGAAGAAATTGACCCATAACCAACCCCCCCACCACATTGAGCAAAAGTTGTATAAAATTTAATGCAAAAGTCCCCAGATGACACCAAGCGTATACAAACAAAACGCCGAGGTCCCCATTATTTTTATTTATATACTCATTCACCCCCTCTGAATATTTATTCAGGTGCAGGCATTAATGACGTCAGAGGCGTGGGGAACAAGTACAAGAAGCGGAGGAGGAAATCTATCATGACCAGGACCAGCACAAAGAAAAAGCTTCGGACAAACTAAGGTACGGACATCATATATCCACAACACCTATAGATTATATATAAATAAATGCATGCACCCACCAATTGACCACCCTCCCAATATTTTTTCCATCTATACAACACAAGAACGCATGGGTGGTGGTACAAAATCATGAACCTGTACTGAAAACTTTCAGACCGCCGTAAACCTCGCGGAACGCTGCCCGCCGGCGTCCGGGCTGGATGATGCGTGTGCCACGGCCGGCGGCGGTCCGCGAACTAACGCGTCCGCTCGACCGGTAGACCTGCGAGTCTCGCGAGCACTCGACGTTCGCACTCGGGCACGGGCACCGGGTATCGCTCGCGGTCGTAGCAGTAGGAATAGGTTACGTACTTCTTTCTGAACCCCTGCATCGCCAACCGTTCGTCGTCGTCGGAGATTTTGATGGAGCTGTACCGGCCGGATTCTCGGTGGTTGCAGGTGGAGAGGTGGTCCGTGGGATCCACAGCGCAGCCGTGGAGGACGAGATCGGAAAATTCGGCGGTGAAAGGGGCATATTTGTAATTGGCCTTGTAACGGCCGCCCAATGTGGCCCAATGTGACCCATCCCATATAGTTGCATACAGAGACATGGGCTTTGAAGGGAAGTCCCCACCAATGGATGGAGTCCTCACCATTTCTCTGATGGGAATGTTGTCTATGTAGAATCTGGACCAGGACGAAGAATACTTAAGGAAGCATATATAATATAAGATATTGATCAATTATTGCAATAAATACTAACTAGGCAAAACAATAAAAAAAAAAAGATTACATGAACAACAATAAGGCCCCCGTTCCAAAATTTTGTGGTTGGTTACGTGAATCATATTCCTCAGTTTAATTGTGTTAAGAAGCATCTACTCAATTAACTATTATCATATACTTTTTAGGATTATTTGCAAATGGACCCCCTAAAGAATCGATGTTTTGAACTTATTATCCCTCGATATTGGAAGATTTTTTGACTCTTTTACCCTTAGAGACTGAGAAAATTGTTTTTTTTAGCAAATAGATCCCCATGAGGGTAAAAAAAAAGTCACAAAGATTTCACTTGCGGGTTCTATCTGCCAAAATAAATCTATAAAGGTAGTATGTTCAAACAAATATATGTAAGGGGTCTATCTGCGATTGACCCTACCCTTTGAATTATTCAAAGCAAGTTCTCTTCAGGTTACCTCTTATCTTCTTTAACCCATTAACTATAATGTTATCATGTCTCCTAACTAAAGCATTTAGTGACTAAAAGGAAAACTTTTTAGGACGCATAAGCTGTTCTTTCTATTAATGGAAAATGTTTGGGTACAAACATATCTAGAATTTGATCTATTTCTAGCATAAGCACAACAGGAGCATTTCCCTCACTAAGATCTGCCTTCTAGTTGTTTACAATATTAAAAAGCATGATCTAGAAATCAGGCAATAGTTTCTAAGTTGAGACATAAACAACTGTTGAGCAGTACTAGGCAATGAGAAATTCATAGTGAAAAGAAAACTCACAACTAGCAAAAAGTGAGCAATTGCTAGAAATAGATAAAAGGACAGAGCAATACAAATTAGTCAATCTATGTAAAATTCTCCCCTCCTAAATAATTTTCATGCATCCGACAGTAAAAATAATAGTCCACAAGTAAGAACTATGTTATGTCTAACTCTTCCATTAAATTTCAAGTTAATATTATACAAAAATCAAACAAAAAATTATATTTACGATGAAAGACGATCGAAGAAATCGACACGAGACAACTCAGTAAAAGCTCCCTTCCAAAATATTGAACTCTCACATCAACTAACCGAAAAAAGTAAATTTCCCATAAATTAGGCATGAAGTTAACAAAAGAAGTAAATAAATTAACATGAAATGTAACAAATATGACAGAACATAGAACATGATATGACATGAAAACAACAACCATGAATGCAACATCTAAGTCTATAGTTCTTGTATTCAATGAATCTATAGTAACTTACATGATCCTATCTTGGCTCCACAAGATAGAATATCGATGAAAATCCTCAGTTGGATCGAACCAGAGACTGTATCTTTCTTCTCTTCCAACCGCTGTGCTTCCATTTCCATAGATGTTGGTTTGAACTCTCCATTCTCTCCCTCTTATATTTCCCAAGAACTCGAAATCTAATTCATCATGGGTTTTCTCGAACACATCCCCGTTTGACATCTGCATCATTATCAGAAGTAATTTTAAGAATTAGCAAAACATAGCTCAGTAGGCTACGAAGTTCGTTTTCAAATTCAACAGGTTCATTTAGGAAATTTAGCCCATAACACAAATTATAATCAGAAAACAAGCCTGATTGATTTGTTCCATGAAGTCTTGCTTATGGAAGTTTGGAGAAAAAAGAAGGCAACAAATCTACAAGAAGTCCTAAAATGCGTCATGCACATTGTTGCATGTTATATTTTCGAGGAAGAAGAAAGAAGAAACTAAGTTCTGAGAATCAAGAAGATGGCTTGGACTCTGAAACGAACTTATTAATCAAACAAGCAAAACTCATCGTTGCTCCCTCTTAATTAGCATCGATTGTAGAACTTAATCCAAAAAAAATCTAATAGAAATTCTCAGCATAAATAAGAAATGTTATCGGAAGTTATCTAGGCGTGGAAAAGAGAATAAAAGAAGATAAATGAATTATGTGGTGGAAATTGTCGAAATCATTGGCAAAGGGAATCGACCGAGTTTAGCTAATTGTAAGATATAATTTTGCAATAGATAGAAGAGATGAAGGGGAGAAAACAGGAACTCTCTGTGCACCAGGGTCTAAGAAAGACAAACTGGATGGTAACACAAAGCAACAAGAAATCATGGAAACTCGGGGATTAGCATCGAAAATGGCTCATTCTTGGCAAATGCAGGGACCGAAGAAAAGAATCAGTGGTATTGGAAATGATACTGTTGTGTAATTACATGATAACAGATTCTCTAATTGAATAAATTCAGTGCTGCGGCACGTTGATTATTGAATATTATTCATGCTCAGAGAAAAAGGGAGTGCAGTAAAAATTTATTAACTTGATCACACAGAGATTCTAGACAACCGAAAACAGTAATTCTAACAAAATACCATCTTTCTATTTACAAGAGAAATCAAATAACCAGAGCTAAGAGCATTCCCATATTGTCCATAATAAAACACAAAGTACTCTTCTGCTCCTATCTTTTGACGAAATAAAGAGCATAACAATCTCAGCGTTCGATTCAAATAACCCAAAAAACTAAGAAAAAAATTTAAGCTTTTGCAAATAAGAGAAAATAATCCAATAAGGAAACTCACATAGAATGCAACAACAACTCCAGCAGCATAATCAGAGGGCAATTTAATGGAAGCACTGAAGAACCCATGAAGGTATTGATCTTGTGAAGCAAATCCAGCACCTGGGTATTTTGAAGAAAAAAAAATCCCAACAAGCCCATCAAAAATATGAAATTTAATCAAAAAACAGGGGGTCATTAAGAGAACAGAGAACAAAACCTGATCTCTCATCAAGAGAAATATGAACAGTCTTCCCATCCCTAAGAAGCATTAGATTATCATCACCAAAGAGCTGAGTGTAGCCTTCATCAAAGGGAAGATAAGTGTAGTTCTCAAATAAAATACTATTGCATGAGGCAGTAGAGAAGAGGAGATATAGAGAAAGAGCTGAGATGAACAAAGCCATCATCTCTGTTTTCTTTGGTTTGCTTGAAGATTTTGGTGATACTGGGTTTTCTTTTGTTTTGGCTCTCTCTATCTCTGTGTTCTTATATGGAGAACAGAGCTACCTCTTCCTCTGTGTTTCTTGGGAGAGGAGGAAACCAAAGGTATGGGGGGTTTTGAGATGAGATGAGAGAGAGAGAGAGAGAGAGAGAGAGAGAGAGAGCTATGGGCTGGCATTTAGAGAGAGAGAGAGAGAGAGAGTTCATATTGAGGCTAGAGTATTTTATGGGATTTTCTTGGATCCTTTTCCACTAAACTATTGAGAGAGAAAATATAATGGGATTTTGGAGGTGCAAGAGTCAATAATCATATGATAAAATAATGGGATATGATTAGAGTAATTTGGACTAGTTTTGAGGTTATGTGATTTTCTAATGGAGAGACTACAAGCACTAGACTTGGATTACATCGAAACAAGGGGAGTAATTACAAAGTAATTGTATAAACTATGAAAGGGGATTTGATTACTAAATGAGGAGATACAAAGGGTGCTAAACAGAAAATGGAGTTGAAAATATGAAAGTTGTAGTGTTCACCTTTAAGATAGAAGAAAGAGTTGAAAATTACTTTTATTTATTTTTTTCCGGGTCTTTATTTAACGATTAAAAGTATATTTTTCTATTTTTATGTTTAATGCCAAAGGCGCCAATTGAAGAATGCAAAGTTTGCGTTGGAAAGAGGCAGTATTTAAAATGAGAATCCAATTAAATGCCATCTTGACTTCTGTTTAATATTTTCTAGTTGTTCTCGGCTATCCTTGCCATCTTTCACCTGTCAATGTGATTCCTGTTGGTCTCATATTTTGGGTCCCTGTAGTAAAACTCTTCACTAGAAAAAATTCCGTAAGAACTTAAAATATGGGACCAATAGGGAGACATGTGAGGTGTCTCCCTTCTATTGCATAATGAGCTGGTCATCAATAATGATGATCAGCTCATTATGCAATAGGATGGCGACACCTCACTTGTCCCCTGTTGGTCTTATATTTTGGGTCCCTATAGCAAAGCTCTTTTCACTAGTCTTATTTAGTTGATTGCTTGGATTAGTGTTGCCATAAGCTTTGAAAAAAATTCAACTCAAGTGCTTGATTAATTAATTAAATGTAGTTAACATATTTCAAAAAACTGCTAAAATCATATCAAATCTTGTGGCATTGGAAGCTTGATTGAATATCATTATTTCTATTAATTGTCAAAATCATATCAAATCTTTGATTATAGGCGCACATTAAATCAATTGCAATAATATTCTTTGTATGTGGAAGAATCCATGTTCTGTTTTTATTCCAATGTTTAAAAGACTTTATTCACATGTCCCCTTTTTCCTCGCAATCAACTTACTAGTTTGACTTCATTCTTTGGTTAAGGAGAAGAATCATCCTCTAAAGACAGTTCTTTTGATGACTTCATCACTTGGAAAAACACTATGTAGGAATAATGCTTTACCAAAGTCCTCATCGTCAACAGCCCACTAAAGAGAGGTAATTAATGCTTCTTATTGAGTTCTCCATTTTCCCATGCAACTCTCCTCTCACGTTCTCCTCTCTCTCTCTCCTCCATTTCCCAAAAGCTTGAACCAGCCCCCTCTCTCTTGGTAGGTGTTATTTTCTTGGTAGGTGTTATATTTTCTTGGTAGGTTATATTCTAAGTTTGATTTGATTCTTGGTAGGTGTTATTTTCTTTTGATCTGATCATGGTTTTGTTCTCGTCATGTATTGGGGATGATAGAAAGAGGGGATCCATGGCCAAGAGTTCCTTCAAGCTCGAGCACCCCCTCGGTTCGTCACGTTTTTCTTTAATTTCAATTTGATTTTGGTTTCTTTTTAGGGTAATTGTTGAAGTTGCGATCTTGGTTCTAGGATTTGTTTTAGCTTGGGGTTTCTCTTATACTCGATCTTGGTTGTTTGTTTTGTTGGATTATCTTTCAAAATTTGCAATCTTTTTTAGGGTTTCTATTAAAATATTTTAGAAATTGCAATCCTGTTAGTTTTTTTGTTAAAATTGGTTAAAGTTCAGAATTTTAGTTGTGGGGTTTGTTTTAGTTGCTGTCCTAAATAATTGAATTCACTGCAGTGAATCGAGATTCACTGCAGTGAATCGAGATTCACTGCAGTGAATCGCCGATTTTTGCTGTCCTAAATAATTGAATTCACTGCAGTGAATCCAGATTCAGTTATGTGAGGTGTTTGCTTTTACCATAAAAATTATAAATTTTTGCTTAAAATCATCAAACACGTTCTATAAATGCATGAGTGAATCTCGATTCACTTCAGTGAATCTCGATTCACTGCAGTGAATCCAGCTTGTTTTTACTTTAATAAACGCATGAGTGAATCTAGATTCACTTCAGTGAATCTGGATTCACTGCAGTGAATCCAGATTCAATTATGTGAGGTGTTTGTTTTTTACCATAAAAATCATAACTTTTTGCTGTAAAAGGTGAAAATTTTTCATGTTATAAAATTTTATAGCTTGTTTTTTACCATAAGTTTCTTATTCTGCTTGGATGGTTAGAATGATTCACAAATCCAGTGGAGCAGCAAATCGATTGGAGTGAATCCAGATTCAATTCGTTGGAGTGAATCTGGATTGAAGATCAATTCAGTGAATCCAGATTCAATGCGTTGTTGTGTTCTTCATGTGAGATTTACAGAGATCGGGAAGCGAGTTAGAGAGAGAGAGTATTAAAGAATGTAGCACTATTAATGTAAGAGAGAGTATTAAAGGACGTGTATTAAATTTGTATCATTGTTCCAATGTAATCAGTCACCATTAATGCAATGAATTGTTCCAATTTTACCCTTTTCACATTAATGCAGTGTATTAAATTTGTCTATATTTACAATTCTGCCATCGAAATCTAGGCCATTGGATGAAATAGAATGTAGGGTTAGGATTGGTTTTTAGTTCTCTAGGTTTTTATTAGAACCTCTCCCTATATATATATATATATATATATATATAATATATATATATATATATATATATATATAATATATAAATTATGAGATAATGGATATCTTTGTCATATGGAGGGGATTTCCTCGCTATGACGCCTCTAAAATCACATGATGGAGCGATATTATGGATGATCCGCTCCGTTGAAACTTGATCTACATATTCTAAAACCCCAACACACAAGGTTGGGGTGAATCCGTCGTCGTTGACCTCCATCGAGCCATGTGAAAAGTTCCATTCATTCAAAACCGTTAAAATTGATACGAGTGGATGAAGGGTCAAACGACGACGGGTTCACCCAAAACTTGTGTTTTGGAGTTTTAGAAATTGTAGATCAAGTTTAACGGAGCGGATCATCCATAATGTCGCTCAATCTTGTGATTTTAGAGGCGTCATAGGAGGAAATCCCCTCCTATGACAAGGATACCCATTAATCTCTCTATATATATATATATATATATATATATTATATACCTTCCGCTCATTGTGTGAAATGTGAATTTTATGAAGAAACTTGTTGATTCAAATGATACTTGAAAATGAGATGAAAATGTAGCGTCCATATACTGTTTGCAAACTTGCTCTATGATCCGTGTACTTAGAATATTTCATAAATCACATTTATAACTGGTTGGTAAATGAGTATAGATATGAGTTCTTTCTTAGGGTCCGTTTGGTTGCTGAAGAGGGCTTGAAAAAGCCTGTCAAAACTGACAAAAACTATCAGTTTTGACAGACTTTCTTGTAAAAACGTTAGTTTTTGTTAGTTTTAACAAGGTTTCTGTCCATTTCAACTCCTCTTTTCAGCAACCAAACGGGCCCTCGGTGACGCACATCTACACGAGTATATGTATTTGTGATCGGTAAACGGATACCGATATAATAAATATCATACTCAAGTTATATCCGATTCGTTTGCAGAATCCACACCACCTGTGAGCCCCACCTGTCAGTAGAATCCCTATACCGTCCTATCCTGTCATGTTGCATGGAGTGGGTCCACACATTCACGCGCGAGGGAGCGCCTCGGGATTCGTAGGTCTCTTTTGATCTTCATTTAATTTGCTCCCCGCAAAGGTAGCTCGTTATCCTGTTCCGGCGACTTCCAGCGGCTATAGCTCTGATACACTTTCCCTATTTTAACGGTAATACCTAATTTAACGGAATAAATCTTTTTTTTTACCGGCTGTTTTCAGCGATTTACAATCCAAATTGAACCAAATGTTGAAGGGTTCGCATCAATACATCGACAAATTATTGGTAGGATGTAGGTGGAGTATTATAAATTATTTTTGAGAGATGAATATCCTTAAAGAATTCATTTTTAATTAAAAAAGTGGATGTTGAGAGGTGGTTATGTGCACAAACTCAGCTAGCTGTTGAGGAAACTATGCACATGCAGTGCATGTGTCAGGGACTGCAGATGGAAGCACTTTGGAAGAAGGGATGTTTGCTTGCCATAGGGGCATGACCAATAGGGGGGAAAACTTAGATTTTATGTAAAAGACACTATATATGAAGTCATTTAGCTAGTTTAAAACATATATATCAATATCAGCTATCGGTATAACTTAACTTTTTTTTAAAGTAAAAATAGGGCAAGATGTCCTATCATTGTATAAATAGAAAGATAAAAGTATTTACATATATTATATCTAGTTGTGATTTAACGATAGGTCCAGAATTGGTGGAGGAGCGGACATATGTCGTTACTCTACACAATAGAGGAGCAAAGTAAAATCACTCATAGATATACAAAAAAAATATACAAATATGCAAATAGTTTACCACCCACAACAATGTAAAGTTTAGCACACCAAACACTAGTAAGTTAGTCCGTTAGGGGACACTATCTATGCACAAAAACCCAAAAAACTGCCAATCTCCAAAGCTGTTGATAAACCTGCTTGTCAACTTCTCCTCCCTTGGTATCTTCTCTTGAGGTGATCAGGTCGGAAATCCTCCTTTCCCGAACAATAACCTTGAGCTTGAGAGCTCGTTTTGAGGTCGCCGAACCTGTCCAGAAAGTGGGGAAATAAGCTATCTTGGATGCCAGATGATGGTGATTAGGTATGGTTCCATTAAATATGAGATTATTAAGAGCAGACGATATAATCCAGCAGATGGTAGGGAATAATTTAACTATCTATTAATATATAGACTATAGTTACCACATCGATAACAACTACAGTGAGACAAAATCTAAGTATTCTAAATAGTGAAGTGTATCA